CGGTTCCACACACCCATGTACTTCCTACTGAGCCAACTCTCCCTCATGGACATGATGCTGGTCTCCACCATTGTGCCCAAAATGGCTGCTGACTACTTGACTGGAAAGAGGTCCATCTCCCCTGCTGGCTGTGGGCTGCAGATTTTTGTCTCACTCACACTGGGTGGTGGAGAAAGTTTCCTCTTAGCAGCAATGTCCTATGACCGGTATGTTGCTGTTTGCCACCCACTGCGATACCCCATCCTCATGAGCTGGCAATTATGTCTGAGAATGACTGTGGGGTCTTGGTTGCTGGGGGCAGCTGATGGACTCATCCAGGCTGCTGCTACCCTGAGTTTTCCATTTTGTAGGGCTCATAAGATTGATCATTTCTTCTGTGAAGCCCCCATATTGGTGCGTTTAGCATGTGCTGACACATCAGTCTTTGAAAATGTTATGTACATGTGCTGTGTGTTAATGCTTCTAGTCCCTCTTTCCCTCATCCTAACTTCCTATAGTCTCATCCTTGCTGCAGTTCTCCAGATGCATTCTACAGAAGCCCGCAAAAAGACTTTTTCTACCTGCTCCTCACATCTCTCTGTGGTGGGACTCTTTTATGGTGCTGCTATTTTTATCTACATGCGACCCAAATCCTACAGGTCAGCTAACCAGGATAAGGTTGTGTCAGCCTTTTATACCATCTTCACCCCTGTGCTGAATCCTCTCATCTACAGTCTGAGGAACAGTGAAGTCAAGGGAGCCTTGAAAAGGTGGCTGAAGAAATATGCAAATATAAAACCCTAACAAACTTAGTCCTATTCTTCAAGGTTACCCTGTGTCAAATGAATCTAAGTTTCTGTATTTGTTAACATTTTAAACACATTTTAATTATCTCTATTTTAGTAATGCATGAAGAGTATGTTAAGTTAATTCATCAGTATGATAGTTAATTTGATAAAGTTAACTGAACCTACCATATTGAGAGATTCTGTTTCTTAAGCATTGACTATTTGCTTGCTCCCATATAAGCACTCATATAGATTATTTTGTATTCTGTAACAATCATATGATATAAATACTTTTGGTTCCATTTTCTAATGAGGAAATGGAAGCAAGAAAAGTTAAATGTTTTCCCAATATTACCAAGTAATTGTTAAAATGTGATTCCAAAATTTGTCCCCAACCAGGTATATTTTATTTCTGTTCAGTAATTTATTTTGAACTCTTTCCTGTGTCTTTACTGTAGGCATAGAACTTAAGAACTAAACAAATGAATTCCACAAAAGACAAATGAGAACATCACTCTTTAGCTCTAATTTAAAATACAGGTCAGCTAAAAAGGAAAAAGTGTGTAACTTAAATATGTCTTGTATTGTCATTTTTATTTTATTTTTCTTAATGTTTATTTACTTTTTAGAGACAGAGACAGAGTGTGAGCAAGAGAAGGACAGAGAGAGTAGGACACACAGAATCTGAAACAGGTTCCAGGCTCCGAGCTGTCAGCACAGAGCCCAGCGTGGGGCTCAAACTCACAGATAACAAGATCATAACCTGAGCCGAAGTTGGACACTTATCCAACTAAGCCACCCAGGCACCCCTATATTGTCATTATTTTAAACTTTTTCTTCCATGTTTGTTTCATTTGGTGTTTGAAGGCAAACCTTTTTAACTCATGCAATTTTTTATTTAAGTGACAAATATGTTTCCCAGGCTCCAGTTGTAATTGCAAGGGCCCATCTGTTTTTAAGTACACCATAATTAAATTCTCTTTTCTTAGACAGTGCCCACCGTGTTTAAAGGTTATGTTGAGTTATGGGATCTGTGGATATAAACTCAGATGCATAAGCATGGTTATCTTTTTTTTTCTTTAGTTTACTTATTTATTTTGAGAGAGACAGAGATAGCATCAGCAGGGTAGGAGTAGAGAAAGGGAGAAAGAATCTCAAGCAAGATCTGCACTATCAGTGCAGAGACCAATGTGGGGCTTGAACTCAAGAAACGTGAGATCATGACCTGAGCCAAAACCAAGAGTCAGATGCTTCACCAAGTGATCTATTCAAATGCCCCAGCATGTTTAGTCTTAATACCTGATGATCATGAGTTATCAAAGCTGACTAAGAATTAACTATGAGTTTCTTGTAAGTTATGTGGGTCACTTCACCTCTGCAAATGGGCAGACTATTAGAACTATTTCTCATTCAGGGGCGCCTGGGTGGCTTAGTCGGTTAAGCGTCCGACTTTC